TCTTCCTGAAAGGCACGTCTGACGGAAAAGGTGTTAAGGTGTACTATTGAGGGTGTAGTTAGGTTTTGTATGTAACGAGGCCTTAAACACTTCTCATTAGTCCACAATAGACAGAGTGTTCCGTGGTGGAAACACTACATCAATTAATACATTAACCCTGTAGTTGTTAGTGGAGTGGTAACAACAGATAACATCTCATAAGCTTTAGCACAGAATGAAATAATTGATTTGTTTTCTGTGTCTACCAATTTCTAAAACTATGTAAATCTTGTCCATTTTCATAGTTTGTTCTTTGCTCGATTTAGCAATTGTTTAAAAGGGTAGACTTTGTATTTCATATGCGATTTTTTTTCTGAATTTATTGTTATTATGTTTATCAATAAATGTCAGATTGTTACCATTAATATATGTACAGTCTTTGCAGCTAAATCAGAAAATACTCAAGTAGTTATGTAACAAAAATAATTTTCCAAAATAATTAATACATTATCGGTGAGACTTATAAAGGTATATATGAAAGGATGTTTAATGAGATTTGTAGAGAGCTTATGTTGTCTATTTCTTTCAAATATCAGAAACGCATACACATGTATAACTGAGGAAAAGGATGACAAGATAAGGACTGCTGTTATCGGATGGAAAACGTCTTGTAATCTTTGTGTTTATTCGAGATAAGCAGACATTTTTTATATATACTGCATACTGTGCCGCACAGCGACCAGTTGCAAAGGTAATAAATTACATTGGCATATCGCTTTATCTCTTACTGGATAGAGACATGTCAATTTGTGTGTAAGCAGACTCCTTGAGGGTCTACACGTTTTACGATCTCACCAGTACGTTAACTGGGGAATATAAAACGTATTTGAGTTTAAACGGTTTGGAATTGCAATAATTATCTACGTCTATAAAAAAAATCTGGATACACGGTATCGTAAACAAATGCCCAGATAAAGATGATCAACCCTATTTATTTAATGTAACCTCCATTTTACAGAATATCTATACTTATCTGACCTTCTCCAATGAGTGGCCCCAACAAGATAAAAACATTCTCTATATTGTTTAAGGTTAAACGAATTTATTTTCCCTTGATTAATCGTGTAAAACTTAACTTTGCGTACTTTTGTTTAATTATAAAAAGGGTACAGATATTAAGACTACGATTTATATCCCCGTGTACTCTACGGTTAAACAGTCGCTATTCTCAATTGATCCGATCAAAGACAAATGGTGCTGTTAAGTACAATATACAATTATTCTCTACTACCTTATAATGGTATTCCTCGGAAAAAGTCATTTAACGAATTTTAAACTTGGAACCTTTTTACGGAGACTTAAAACTTGTTTCCAGTCCGACTACACCTTTTTTATGACGACTTTGATTATAAATGTATCCGTCATATTTTAATACCGTTTGTCGTAATTTCTCCCGAATTGATTTTAAATCTTACTTTCTTTACTCTGCAATTTATTGTATTAACATTTTGTTATGGTGTATATGTCTTATAAATATATATGGTTATATTATCGTCTTTGGCATAGGTTAAGATATATATGTATTACTTTTCGCAATCATCAATACACGAAAAAAATATTCTTATGTTCATAACAAAAGAACAAGGACATTTTCATATTAAAATTAAAATAAGATTCTGATTTATGATTAAATGTTAACTATCTATATACTATATAACTGAATAATGTTTACTCAAGAACACAATATTTCAAACTTTCAGATAACGTTAACACGCATTACATGTGCAGGATTAGGGTTTTTGAATGTTTGAAAACTACAGTAATCTTTTAAATTTTGCTTACTTTTGAATCGTTAAATATTTCAGTTTTCAGACCAAATACTAAATTTAGGAAAACTAGAGATAAAGATTAATATCAGCGAACATCACAAAGCAGAGTCAAAGTGCCATCTTTATTAAGGCTGAAAATAGAAAACGCCAACAGAAAATTTAAGAAAACAAAAGAGTTCACATAAGAGAGGACGAAGTGCACTTTATAACTGCCTGCGTATTGTTACTATATTAATCTGAAGGATAACGCTTAACCCGACTTAGCCCTGGTGCCACGGGGTCCACGGGTTAAGTCGCTTCACTTCAAACACCTTAATGTGCGTATGTATGTGGAGGTCTAGACTGTTATACTGCTTGAGTGTTAATCTTGTTCCCGTTATTTCCGGGTTCATTTCCATGATAAATGTATTGTCTAGATCAGCGATCGACCATTCCTCGCATAGCATTGACTGACAACAAAGATAGTCGACCATTACAGAAAGAAGATTTTGTTTTCTTTTTCCTATTTTTGACAGATTCATCAACTAGATTTGAATAATATTTTGCTCTGCAAAATCAGTCTTTAAAAGAACATTGATTATTAAATACTTATTATAAAGTAGTTATTTCGTCTTTTTTCCTCCTATCAAAGATTGCAATTTTAGAAGTATGTGTAACCTTGATTATTTAACGTCATCCTAGTTAATCAAATATGACGACATCATTACTATGGTAATAACATGTTACTATAATTATACGAGGACTGATTCACATAGGTACCGTTGTTCTACGAGGTTTTAATTGCTATATTATCAAGTAATAATCTATATATAAACACTAGTGGTATGGTACCACTCCTACACTTAACTTCAACACATTGGTCAGTAGCTCGTGGGTTAAACACATATCGATCCTTTGTGTATTCTATGACAATAATTTCCGGTACATAGTAACATAATGATCTCTACAATTTCATGATTTCCGTGGAAAATTCCAGTGACGTCATTTTTATAACCAAATCCATTTGAACAAGTAACACGGATAGCAACGCGTTCGAAGGTGATATGTTCTTTGTCAATAAGTAGGTACACCAAATTGGACTGGATCTCCTGGTCCCTCTCACTATCCTTAAGGTGGTGTACATTGATAAATTGATCTGTGTACCAATCACTTCTTTAACCATTTCTTTATTGACCCTCACGATCAGTCGCTGTCCGCTAAGTAAATGCTTCATGGCTTATCCTACCTCGCCAATAATAACATTGCTAGTTTGAACAGTGGACAGGTCACTCTACACGAGTATGGTTGATTAATACATTTAAATATTTACTTGAAACTAACAGCGTTTATTTCAAAAGTATTGCTTACGATCCGATGTCAACACGCTACTATATATACCATCAATCTTAAGAAATGCTGTCATCTTGAACATTTGAACGATTGTGTTATCTTTTTATATTATGTCAAGTGTTACAAATTGTGTTATTTTCTTACATCGAGTGTTCGTGATGTTTGTTATACGTGTTCAATGTATCAAGTGAATGAGTAATTAAAGCATACTACGCCTAGACCATGGCATTGTTATAGTCAATATATTCGATCAAGACAACGGTTTGGTATACATCAATAATATCGGATCTAGACAACACTATGGTTTGTATTCAATTTATCGAGCTTAAATGACGCTATAATTTTTATGAAGAATAATTGACATAGACGACGTTATGATGAAAATTAACAATATTCGACCTAGATGAAGCTATGATTTATGTATTATATGTATTTTGGCATTTTGTATTTTGTAATATATACATTGGTCTTTGAAATGACCATGACTGTATTACATTTAGTGGTTTATAACACCGTAATGGTTGATGTAGTTTGGAGTAACTTTTATTGTATTAAAAATGCTTTCCCTTGACTATGCTGTAGTGAATATGAGGTATTTTTTACCAAGATCACGCTAGGTTGATATCCTTTTTCTATTGGTCTATCTGGAACCTTCCTAAAAACATATTTATCACCTTGTATTATGTAACTGCCACGAATGATTAATGTTGTATGTAGTAAGTTTTAATTGATGCTCTCTATTAAGAAAAATAAAAGTTTACATCCCAGTGAATAAGATCAATTTTTGCACAAAATATCTATAGTACAATACGATATAATTTCGTGAGAAACAAATATAACAATTCTGAAAAGTCGAAGCTTGTAAGAAATACAAAGGAGCTACATTTCGTTTAATTGATAGTTATTTGCTTAGTTAAACAGTACAATTAAAGAAGACGGGCGTTTCAAAGTCGTTAAAAACACTCAATAATAATTATTGATTTTCTCGGAATGAAATACTTGTCTTCGTTTATATATTTTTGTTTGAAAATCGTTACTTAATACTATCTTTCTATCTGAATGGCGACAAAACGTAATTTTTTGGTTGATGTATCTAATGTGTATGAAATATCATTACCTTTCTCTCGCATATTTATCCATTAATGATCCTATTATAATGATTCTTAACCGTTTACCAGTGAACAAAATACATATCTCAATGTAGAATTAAAAAAGGTGACAAAGAAAATATTCGCGAACTAGTAAAGCATATTTTATTCCAAATATAGCAATGGTTCCATCTAAATCGTGTTTGATAATATCTGTGAGCTGTAATTTTATAGCATATCACATAAAAATTTCAAAAATGAATTTCAACAGATCTCATAGATGTCTAACATAAAGAATTGTGTGTTGGCTATCGTGTGGAGATTGAGCTCGAGTGTGGGAACTCACCATCGAACGTCAAAAGTACACATTCTCTCTCTGATACGGGGTAATAATCCACCACCTTGTTAATTGTCGTTCTAGTAGAAAATATTTTCCATTGATTTGTTATTGAGTGGTAGATCATCCATGATATATTGAAGGTTTTATCAGATAGTTTTGTTTTATTACATTGGAGATTAAGATATAGTTTAGTTTTGAACAACGGGTGTGGAGGTGGGCGATGTTGACTTGGGAAGCGAGCAATACGTCAATCACGAGTATGTATACACCTTACCCCTACCTGGAGGCCTGGTCAGGAGAAACACTGTAGACACCTATACCTCTTATCATAGTCCAACCGTTTGGTTGGAATCACTTTAAATACTATCAGAAGCTAGTTTAACCTTTACCTGTTGAAATTCTCTAGTTTAAAAATATATTTTTTTCCTTTTTCAGCTTGCTATACCACCTGTGTTTCGCTGGATGAATGAGCGAGCCAGTATGACAGACAGGGACTCCCGATCTTATCGGAGGCGAACGTAGAGTGGGCAGCCTCTACAGTTTTTTCTTTACATGACAGCAGTGTCAGAGCGGCGGTCACACGATCCAATAAGATTTTGCTAGTCGCTTTATATGTCTAGGTATGGAAGGAAGGTGATTTAATTACAATATTCTTACCAATCAGAGTGCTGTGGTCTAGGGCTCTTATAGGCGACCTTACAATCACTGACGATATCATAGACCACTGATCACACTGTTCATCAATCAATCACATCGGCGCTTAGCATAGGACACTAGGAAATTACCTCATCTCATTTCTACTTCATACGCATGAAATTATCAACTTAAGTTTGACAGACAGCATGGCTTTTATTTAGTTATTGGTGATTGGATTATAGAGGTACACTACCGTCTTGTGATGTCTCAACGATCAGTAACAATAGTGAACTGGACTTGTATCACTGATGAGTATGTTTCTAAAAAGGGCTAGCAACTAATTATATACGTAATTCAACGGAAAAATTAAAATTATTTATTAACATTTTACTTATTTAATGACTTCATTACTGCAGAAGTATATTAAAGATCATTTCTCAATTTATGCATATATAAAGGGTATTTTGTGATAATTTTCCCTGAAAGATTTAAAAACCGTGTATCAGACGCCGGTATGTACAGTCCGACGTATCAACGATTCTACACAGGATTAATCGTGTTCCTTGTTCTAACGGGGCCTTCCCTTCAATGTGGCCGGGTGGTCGGCAAAAGGAAAAGACCTGCAAAAATGATCCCCTTGGTTCACAAACAGGGAGTGCCGAATTTGTCAGAAAACACCATAGGAGCTAGCGGACTTAGCGAAGGTGTCATCACACGAGATGACCCGAAATTTAAACAACTTGTCACAAACGAAAACCCCAACATAATATTCAAGGACGAGGAGGGCAACGGTTCTGACCAAATAATGTCACAGGTAGGTACTCTTTTATCTTTCAAGAGCAACTTTGACTTTCTCCTTATTTAAACATGTATTCTGCTACGTTTGTCTCAAAGTAGTTTAACTTCAAGTGATCTAATCAAAAATCAAGAACACAAACCGTTATCCGTTAAAACAGATATCAGAATTAGAACTCACCTTGCTAGACACGGCTTCATGGATAACGATGGAAATATTTGTCTATCAAATAACGATTTTTAGAAAGACAAATCAAGGGTTAAGAATTGTACCAATATGCCAGGTTCTATTAAATCAAAGTTTAAAGACAGGTTAAAACGGTTAGTTACAGGACTTGTGTATGACACACGTTTACGGTATTTGCAATCACGACAGACAGCGCCGTTATACCCGTCAGAGACGTTCTGGTATACCATGGAAGAACACGTAGGAATTTATCAGATTTCGTATTTTTTATTATGAATCAGATTAGTGACTTAAGGATGAAGTTATTTCTTGGAACGAATTTAATACCTAGAATAACTTTAACTTACACTACTATATTAAGAAGCTATTGAAATCGTTAAAGTGTCTTTCTTCTACATGAGATAATAACATTATATCGGATGTTTACATATCTGATCTGCCTTGAAAAATATTCAGTATGGCTGTTCAATCGAATGCAAGGTATTTAGCTTTATGGTAATGCAAACTCCACTCGAGAGGTTACTGGAAGTAGGTACAGTAGGACGTAAGCAATATAGTCATGACTCTCACTGCAAATAAAAACATTTATCTTACAAAGTGTTTAATCAATGTTCACAAGAAAGGTTATCAAAGTATAAATGTGTAGAAATTTTAAAGTAACAAAACAGTATGTATTATACAATTTACCAAGAATAGCGACATGAGAGTAATTAAGGGTATTTTTCAGTTTGTTATTCACGGACATTAGAACTGTAACCATTATATTAAACAACATTACTTTTATCTGTTATCTGTTACTTCACAATTGACCCATTGTTGGGTCTTCAAACTGTCTCCCTCATAGACAAATCACCGCGTACCAGATAAGCGTCTATTGGAACCGACAAGTACGAAGCACCCTATAAGATTGATCAAAACCTTCACGTCTGGATCTTGTCAAAATATGTCAGGTTCATGGAGGGTTTATTGGCGCGTTAAGTGGTATTAATTAAAATGTCCTAAAACATGTGATTTTTGAGAGGCCGATCACAGCACTAATGTGACGTGACAGCTCCGTTGAAAAAACTATCCAATTCACCATATCCTGCTATCTAGTCACCCGCTATACTGATTAGATTCTACCTTGGTCACATTTAACAGTAAATGTCAACACATTATCCAATATATCAAAAGTATACAAATCCCTCATTTGTCGAACGTTTCCGTATAGCGAATTTTCATAACTAAATTGTAAAACAAATCATAAAAAAATCAAGGTAGATTCATGGTACGCTTCGTGAGCTCAAAAAAAACTCAAACTTTGGTTATGATTTAAGTAATCATGATAAAATTATTTATTCAAAGTTGTATGAATGCCTAGGCATACGACGCTCTTTACAACGAAAAAGTTATGAAAATCTGTTTTTAATATCTTATCAATAGTATAATAAATCCGAGCAGTTATATTGAGTTCTGTTCTCAACTACTCAAATAAATAAATCTATGAAACTTTGAAAAAATATAATTAAGAAAAAAGAAAAGGATAACGCATGCAAGGACATAGCTAGTGTACACTGTAGGAGACCAGTTGTATCAGACAATTACTAAAAACAACAGAATACCTTACCAGTTGTATCAGACATTTACTAAAAACAACAGAATACCTTACCAGTCGTATCAGACATTTACTAAAAACAACAGAATACCTTACCAGTCGTATCAGACATTTACTAAAAACAACAGAATACCTTACCAGTTGTATCAGACATTTACTAAAAACAACAGAATACCTTACCAGTTGTATCAGACATTTACTAAAAACAACAGAATACCGTACCAGTCGTATCAGACATTTACTAGAAACAACAGAATACCTTACCAGTCGTATCAGACATTTACTAGAAACAACAAAATACATTACCAAGTGTATCAGACAAATACTAGAAACAACAGAATACTTTACTAGTTGTATCAGACAATTACTAAAAACAACAGAATACCTTACCAGTTGTATCAGACATTTACTAGAAACAACAAAATACATTACCAAGTGTATCAGACAAATACTAGAAACAACAGAATACCTTACCAGTTGTATCAGACATTTACTAAAAACAACAGAATACCTTACCAGTAGTATCAGACATTTACTAAAAACAACATAATACCTTACCAGTTGTATCAGACAACTACTAAAATCAACAGAATACCTTACCAGTTGTATCAGACATTTACTAAAAACAACAGAATACCTTACCAGTTGTATCAGACATTTACTTAAAACAACAGAATACCTTACCAGTTGTATCAGACAATTACTAGAAACAACAGAATACTTTACTAGTTGTATCAGACAATTACTAGAAACAATAGAACAGGTGACCGGTGGTTTCAGATAATAACCAGAAACAACAGACGTTACCGCTGATATCTGGCAGATAAACAGTTTTACTACAAACAACAGGTACAGGACTATCGCTATAAGGCACAATAACATTATTATCAGACACGACAGAATACCTTACCAGGAGTATCCGACAATCACTAGAAACAGAAACTGAGGTGACCAATGGTATCCGACAATCACTAGAAACAGAAACTGAGGTGACCAATGGTAGNATAGCCAATTTTCATAACGAAATTGTAAAACAAATCATAAAAAATCAAGGTAGATTCATGGTACGCTTCGTGAGCTCAATAAAACCTCAAACTTTGGTTATGATTTAAGTAATCATGATAAAATTATTTATTCAAAGTTGTATGAATGCCTAGGCATACGACGCTCTTTACAACGAAGAAGTTATGAAAATCTGTTTTTAATATCTTATTAATAGGATAATAAATCCGAGCAGTTATATTGCGTTCTGTTCTCAACTACTCAAATAAATAAATCTATGAAACTTTGAAACAATATAATTAAGGAAAAAGAAAATATTAACGCATGCAAAGACATAGCTAGTGTACACTGTAGGAGACCAGTTGTATCCGACAATCACTAGAAACAGAAACTGAGGTGACCAATGGTATCAGACGATCACTTAAAAAGCAGCTTAAGTGGCTGTGGTATCAGACAGTTACTACAAACAACAGTTACAGGACTATCGCTATAAGGCACGACAAATCCTAGAAACTACAGTTTAACTGACCAGTGGTGCCAGACAAGTTAACAGTATTCCTAGAAACGATAGTGTACTTTGCACCGGTATAAGACACAATAGAAGTACTACTTAGACATTAGTGTAATTGATGGATGGTATCGGACAGGGTAACAGTATTACTATAAACTACATAGGGACTTGCTGCCTATAACAATCGATGTTTTATTCTTAGAACTGATTAGAAAATCGTTTACCTTATATAACCTGGTGCTAGGTGAAAGCTGTCTTTGATTATAGTGTAATTACCCATGTACCGTCTAGAACCATGTCCGCTGATGAAGATAAAAATGCATGATCATCTTCATGAATTTAGAAATGAAAAAGTTCAGAATTCATATTATTGATATTGATTTTTTTATAGTAGGTTTGTATGGTAGAATCAATGGAATTGTTATTTGATGCAAAGTTAGTCCAAAGGAAGTAAATCCATAAAATATGGTTTGGCTGTTTTAAGTTCGAAATAAAAAAATTAAAAAAAAGTTGTGCATAGATTTTGCCCTGATTCTACGCGAACAAAAATAGTAGGTTTATTTTAACAGTGATTAAGTTAAAAACTGCCTATACATTCACATTTAGTGACATCCTAGTGTGAATATCGACCTAATTTTTATTTCAACTCTGCTCCCAAATATAACACATTTGCTAGACGAGAGATACTATCAGGTAAGTGATTAATTTTTTCAATGTAGGATTTGCTGCTGATATTTAAAAGACCGTTTCCTCTAATTGGAATATTTGCAAGAGAATGATAAATGTGATTTTAATGAGCGAGCTTGTCTAAGTATACCCAGCCGATTAGCGAAGGCTAGACTCTATACATTTCGATTGTGTTACAGACATAACAATACTTATCGATTTCCAGTTGTGGACTGTATAATTGTTTCATGTCATTATATCAAATAGATCTTATCGCCAACGTTCCTGCTAGTGTTGACGATATTTGACATAGTCTCTGACACAGTTAAAAAAAGGTGCCACCAATTCATGCGAATGTTTTTTAGCATCGATATTAAGCACCTAACAGAGAATTAGCATCACAATATTACAGACACAATTGCAATGTGTTAATAATGATGAAATTAGTTTCAAGATAGAAAATTACTAGGTGTAATTTTTTATTTATTTTTAATCTTACACTGCATTCATAAAAATGTTCCAATAAATTGACAAAGATAAAAAAAAAAAAAAAGATGTTTTTCAATGCAGGTTGAGTGTCAATAATGCTGTTTCATTAGAAAACATTTCAACAAGAAATGTCAGAACCAAATGCTGTTTGATATCGATACGTTGATAACAAATAGGGTTACATCGAAGCTCTGTCAGACAGAGAAGGTTTTGGGATTCAAAGTTGTCAAGTACATGTAAATGGATTTTAATATTCAACTCCTTGTATAACTGGTTTGATTGATTGTTCTAATTTATCAAAAACAACACGCTTTACAATAGACGACTTAAAACATCAAGTAATAAACAAAACCGCCATCCTTGAGGTAACTATGCGGTATTTTAATTGAAAATTTTATGATATATCTGAGAGTAGAAACAAAGTACAAGTTCCATTTGACACACCTTAGGTGATGACAAATAAATTGCCTAAATGACATTAGAGTACACTGTATACTGGTATAACTGTTGAGATGGACTTGTTCCACTAATTTAGCGGCACAAATTATAAAAACATAATCATATTGGTAA